GCACGGGCGTGCTCGCCCCCCCCGCGCGTGCTCGCCCCCCCCGCGTGCACGCGCACGGCACAGTGCTCGCCCCCGTACCACACACACAACCGCACCGCGCACAACCGCTGCGCCCCCGACACCCGCACAGCCTCACCGCACAACCGCACGGTGCACAGCCGCACCACGCACAGCCGCAGAGGGCACAGCCGCGCAGACCCCTTCACATGCACACACAACCGCACCGTGCACAACCGCACTGCGCACAGCCACGCTGCACACAACCGCACTGCGCACAACCACACTGCGCACAACCGCACTGCGCACAACCACGCTGCACACAACCGCACTGTGCACAACCGCACTGCACACAACCGCACTGCACAAAACCGCACTGCGCACAACCGCACCGTGCACAACCGCACTGCGCACAACTGCACTGCACACAACCGCACTGCGCACAACCGCGCAGACCCCCCCATGCGCACACACAGCCGCACAGTGCACAGCTGCACTGCGCACAGCCGCATAGACCCCCCCACGCACACACACAACCGCACAGCGCACAACCACACTGCGCACAACCACTCAGACCCACCACGCACAACTGCACAGTGCACAACCGCACTGCGCACAACCGCACAGACCCCCCCATGCACACACACAACCACACTGCACACAACCGCACTGCGCACAACCACTCAGACCCCACCACACACAACCGCACAGTGCACAAGCGCGTGCCCCGGCCATGCACGCACAACCGCACCATGCACAATAGCACACGCACACACACAACCACACAGTGCACAACTGCACACCCGTGCCACCACGCACAACCACAGCACGCACAACCACAGCATGCACAACCACACAAMCCCCCCGCACGCGCACAATCGCACTGCGCACAACTGCACAGTGCACAACCACACACACACACAGAGCTGCGGTGYGCACAACCCCGGCGCGCACAGCCGGACTCGCGCGGTTGTCACCCATCRCGGCAGGTGTCGGGGACGTCACCACCGAGGGCTCCTCAACAGCCTCTTGCAAAACAATCAGCCCGCGCGGTGCTACACGTGCAACAGCCGCCCTCCGGTTGTTGCATGCAYGGCGAGGACAGTCGCAGCACAGCAACACCCCTAAATACAGGAATCAGCGGCCAAAAGGAGCCTCCTGCTGCCCAGGGCTCCCGGCCTGGATTCCGAAGCGTCTCCGGCTTCCACGGAAGGGACAGAATCCCATTGGGAAGAGGCCCGGATCCTGCCCGCCGGCTTGGATCGGAGGATTTCGCCTCTCCCAGGGCCGGGTTGTGCTTTCCAAAGGACCTGGATGTGTAGGAAGGGGCAGAATTCCAGCTGCTGCTGGGATGCCCCCAAAAACCCACGGAGAAGATGCCGGCATATCCCATGGGAATTGTCCCCGTGTTTGTGCTCTCGTCCCCTACGACCCCGACTAGCAGCCCTCCCAGCTCCGGTGCTGCCCACGTCCCCCGGCCTCGGAGCAACCGGGAAAAGCGCCAGGAATTCTCCTTTCCCGGGAACGGAGGCCGCAGGACTCCGCACATTCCAGCCCCGTTCCCAGGGTGCCTCTCGGACGGCCCCTTTCGTCTTTTGTTCCCCATCCTGGCGGGTTTACGGCTTCAAAACACTTGGATTTGGGGTTTTCCTAACAGCGCTGGGYTGGGGAAGCAAAACCAATCCCAAATTTGTTTTTTTCCCCAAATTTTTGGAGCTGGTGAAATGTGGGAATTCGAACAAGGACGAAGACACCGTGGAAGGGACGGGAATGAGCAGAGTGGGGACACGGACGGAGCTCGGGGGGTGTTCGGGGCCCAGACGGTTGTTGCTCATTTGAGCCTTGACATGGGAGAACTCTGTGTAAAGAATTATATAAAAAATTATATAAAATTATATTAAAAATGCCTCTAAGTATCACAGGCGCTGAAAAACACATTACTTTGTATTACTTTGTATTACTTTGTATTACTTTGTATTACTTTGTATTACTTTGTATTACTTTGTAGTTGTATTAGTCATATCATGTTAAATTATATTATTTTATATTATTTGTAACGGTTTTATTTGCATAAACAATTACTGCTATGTATTGTATGATATATGCTATTACGTCTCCTATGTGGTGCTGTGCTTTAGGTGCTCGCGTCAGCCGCGTGGCTCATTAACAAATTACTCCATCGGGCTCCTTAATTACCGCAGGGAAGAGGCGGTTGGCGGGAACAGCCCCCACGGGCCGCCATGACGCCCCCACGGGCCGCCATGACACCCCCACGGGTCGCCATGACACCCGCCGCCCGCCATGACAGCCCCGCCCTCCGCCCGCCATGACCCCGCCCCCCCCGCTTCCCATGGTGCCGCGCGGCGGCGCGCGGGGCCCGCCGGGAGTTGTAGTCCGCGCGCGGCGGGGGCGGAGGCGCCGTCGGCCGCCATTATCTGGGAGCGCGGCGGGGCCGGAGCGGCGCCGCGCGAGCCCGCGGCCGGGCCGGGGCGGCCCCGCCATGGCGGTTTAGCCCGCCGCCCTCGCCCTCCTCCCGCCGCTGAAGGCGCGGCCTAGCGGCGCGCGCGGATCCCCGGCGTCGCGTAGCGGCCGCGGCCCGCGGCGGGCCGCCCTCGGCGGGGCGGCCATGTCGCTCGTGGCCTACGCCAGCAGCGAGGAGGAGAGCGGCGCGGAGGAGGAGGAGGAGGCGGCGGCCGAGGAGGAGGAGGAGGAGAGCGACGAGGAAGGCGCCGCGGCCGCCCCGCGGGGGCTCTTCGCCGCCCTGCCGCCCCCCAAGGCCCCCGCGGGCCCCCCGAGCCCCGGGCCGGCCCCGGAGGGCGGCGAGGAGCGAGCGGCGGCGCCCGACGCCCCGCGGGGCCCCTTGGGCCTCCCGCGGCCCAGGAAGAGGACGGCGGAGCCGGTGCGGATCCCGGTGCCCGCGCTGCGCGGGGCAGATGTGAGTACCGGCGGCGGCCGTGGGGGTGTCCGCCACCGACCCGCCCTCCCCGGTAGCCCCCTGAAACCACCGGCGTTTCCCTGTCCTTTGATAACTTATCTGAGGGCTCTGGGGGGTTCTCCTCGCGCCCAGGTAAGTTATTGTTGCAGCTGTACGTTAATAACAGCAATACATATAAATTTGCCCCATATAAATTACTGTTATATTTTTTGCTCCCTGATGGCCCCAGTGTGAGGACAGAGGGGCTCCTACGGGCTTTTTCCCCCCTGTTTTGGAGGGATTGTGGCCGTAGCCACCAAAGGGTCAACACGGAGACTGGAGCTGCCCCGTCCTGGTGCAAACGGGGCCAGGTTTGGGGCATCCCTGGCCCTTGTCAGTAACCCGGCCCCATCCAGCACGTTCCAGAGCCAAGGAAACCCGACCGGGAAGCAGCAGGACRGGCTCCCTGCGAGAACAGGGCAATTGGTGCCACCGTCCAGCGAAGCCACTTGATTTCTCAGCTGGGGACAGGAGGAAGCGCCACCGAAATGGCCTCGTGTCACGGAGACCCCAGGGCCCTCTCAGGTGCCCGGCTCCCATTTCCTGCGGCGTTCCAGGCTTTTCTGCTCCTCCTGGGGAGCATCCAAACCCTGCAGGCAACGGGACCTTATTGGGCTGCCTTTTATTTTTCCCAGCAAGCTAATTAGCTTTATACAGGTCTCTGGGGCCTGTGTTTTGCTGGAAAGATGCTTCATAATCAAACAAATGCCAAGTTTCCCCTGAGKTTTACCGAAATCTGGCGGGGGAGGAGGTCAAATGAAAGGGGATTTGYTTCTCCTCCTTTGCCCCTGCCCTCCAAGCTACTGAATGAAGGCTGGCAAGAGAGAAATGCCTTAAAAACGAGTCTAGTCCCGCAATATTGCAGCTGTTGGTGTGCCTCTATTTTGGTGTCTTCTTCTTCTTCACCATATTTTATAATTTAGGCTGGAAATGAGGCCTTCTGCCAATTTGCTGTAATCTCTTTAAAGTGCTCTGCAAAGCTATAAAACAATAAAGATGTTCAAGGGCTCCTGTGCTGCCAGAGGAGGCCTGGCTTTATATTCGAGATTTTCATCTTGTTTAACAGCTCCAGAGTTATCGGGAGCAATTCCCCGCTAATTCCTGCAGTGAATTTTTGACATCTTTATGTTATAGAGCTTTGCTCTTCCCTCTGTTCATGCAGTGCTGTCCATTACTCTAAGCCTGGCCTTGTTAGGTGCAGCTTATGTTGATGTTCTTGCTCGGATTTTTCCAACAAATTAAAAAAGGCTAAATTGTCAGTGCTCTAAATATTCGTTCTGACAGTAGCCAAATATTAAAATGCATTAAAATGTAGAATTTTGGCTGAACTAAACCTATTTTTGTTCCCTAAGTTGCATAAATGAGCTCATAAWTGTTAGGTTGCTTAAAATGAGCAACATAAACATTGCTCGGTGGGGTTTTCTTGGTTGTCTTGGGCTGTGCTAAGCTCTGCTTTTCTTTCTCAGTCAGATTCCGAGGAAGATGAACCAGCAAAGAAGAGAAGCACTTTTCAGGTAAATCCTTAGGATATTTAATGAAGCAGGTTTCTTAGGAAGTAAGCGTTTGACTGGGATGGAGCTTGGCCTTCCATTAGTGTCAGCCGGGCTGTGATTAGTGTGTGGCTTTTAGGGACTAATATCCTGGAGATCCCCCGGGGTAGCAGAATCCTCTCTTGGGAAAATTTCCTACACTTAAAATGTGCATTAATTTGGGAAATGGAGGCGGTTATTTGCAATATGATGTTTCCTTTAAAAGTCCCCCTGGCCTTTGGGGCCAGAAAGCCCTGCAGGGTGTTCAAACAGCAGGCGCTTGTGCCGAGCACGGGAAACCCGCACGCACTGTTAGAGGGAAAGATAGAGGAGGTTTGGGGCAGGAAATTGGGAAAACTAAAGAGTTTTTTTGCTCATTTCTTTTATTCTGTGCCTGGAAACGCGCAGGGACGCGGCGAGGGCTCTGGCTTGTCTGCGTTGCTTCCTCAACCCAAAAACTTGACCGTGAAAGAGAGCAATCGGCTGCTTTTGCCCTACGCCTTCTCGAGGAAAGCAGCGGAARCGGCGTCCGAGGCGAAGCCGGCGAAAGCCCCGAGCTCCTCCTCGAAGCCCAGAGCCCCGGCCAAGCCGGCGGTGGCCACGACGCCTTCTCCGTCGGCCATCAAAGCGGCCGCCAAGAGCGCTGCCCTCCAGGTCACCAAGCAGATGACGCAGGAGGAGAACGACAGCGACGAAGAGGTAGAGCCGGAGAACTACTTCTCCTTGTCCGACAGGAGCGAGCCCGGCACTGTCGGCGCTGAGACCTATGTGTATTCGGGCACAGTGGTGGCGGAGGAGCCTCCGCCGGGGACCGAGCCGGAGCCCCAGGGCCAGGACGCGGCCGCTAATGCCCCCTTGGAGTTCAGGACGGCCGCGGGGTCCGGCGGCCCCCAGCCCAGCTGGGTCCCCAGCCCCGGGGAGGACTACGGCGCTCAGCCCTATAACCAGTTCTACGCCGATGCCGGCGTGACCGGCGCTTATTACCAGGTGGGTGCGAGGCCATGGCACGAGGAGGGAAGGCTCCGCGGGCTCCTCTTGCTCTTGGTCCTTGGCTTGGGGCGCGTTGAGGCTTCAGGAACCCTTCCCTGAACGAGCTGGGCCGAGGGGTGTAGCCTCCGTGCTGCAGGATCCCTCTGGGATGAGAGCCATCGATGCTCTTTGCTGGATAAATGTTTAATAGCTGCTCTCCCTTTGAAATGCCCCTGCAGAACTGCCCCTGCTGCTGTCAAGGAGCAGGACTGGGGCTTGCCAGGATCCCTTTCGGAAGCTGCGTTGTTTCTAGTAAGCCAGCAAAGCGGTTGCTGTTGGGTGCCTCTAAAAACGGGCTGTGCTCTTCAGTCGGTGCCAAAGCCGTGGGAATTCTCTCAGCCTTGGAAGGAAGCACCCGTGTAACTGAACTGGGATCTCCAGAGGTTGAATTAAATCTTCAAATCTCTCTGGGTGGGGAGGAAATAAGAAAACAACCAAAAAACCCAGCAGTTCAGGGTGAGATGTGAGACTCGGAGCTCAGTCTGGAGGTCTGTGTTCATAGCTGCTCCAGGCTCGTTTCCTTGCAATGATGAATTTTGCTGTTTTTTCCCCCTTTTTGCTTTCAGGATTATTACGGTGGCGGCTACTACCAGGAGGCGGACGCGGCCCAGGCACCGCCGCAGGACATGAGCACCGACTCCTCCTTCCTGGATGATGAAGCGGTTGGCACTTTCTTATYTCTGGCACCGAGGGGGTGGCATCCCGGTGCTCCTAGAGCAGAGGATCCGCTTGGCAAGGCCTTGAGCAAGCCTCCCCCTCCGGCACGAGCCAGATGCGCTTCCATAGGCTCAAGCGCGGTGTCGTGGACACGCGCAGTGTCCTTCCAGTCCCTTGGGTCACTGCTCCGGATGGATTTATAGGTTCTATAAGTAGATGGTGTTTGTTATATCCCCCTAGCACAGCCTGGCTCTTGTCAGGACCATATAGGGTGGTTAGGGCATAGGGAGGGATAAAATCAGTGCATTCGCTTGCTCGCCACCGTGCAAGAGAGCTGCTCTTTGGGTGCTGTATCCTGCAGCACAACGCTGAGCTCCCTGCCTTATGGAAATGCTCCTTCTGAGGGGGAATTGTGCAAGGTGGGGATTTTGGCAGCTAAACTTTAGGTGCTTCCTCAGCACGGAAAACGAAAGAAAAATAAAAGCATGAATGAGTGAATGAAAAATGAAAGAAAGCGAGCTTCTCAGCAGGAGACGATGCCAGGATAAATAATGTGTAGGTGTGCAGGCACACCTACGTGCTGTAGGTGTGCCTGCTTGAGCAGGAAGGTTGGACTAGATGATCTGTAGAGGTCCCTTCCAACCTTAAATATTCTGTGAATCTGTGAATCTGTGTTCCCTTCTGCTTTGGTAGATCAAGTTAAGCTTGACTAAGTTAAGTCAAACTTGATGTTGAGTAGTTTGAGGACCCCGGGTTGAGCAGTTTGAGGTACTCTGATCTACAGAAAAGCAGAATTCTCCTAAAAATTCYTGTTTGGAAAGACGTATGGTGGTGTGCCCTGCTCCGTGCTCGGGGAGCACATGGATCAGAACCGCATCTACCTCTGTCTCGCATCACAGCCCCTCTGAGTCTCTTGTTTCTGTTTTGCTCTTAGTTCAAACGCCTGCAAGGCAAGCGGAACCGCGGGAGAGAAGAGATCAACTTTGTGGACATCAAAGGTGACGATCAACTGAGCGGAGCCCARCAGTGGTTGACCAAGTCCTTAACGGAGGAGAAAACCATGAAGTCCTTCAGCAAGGTATGGGCAGCACTGGAGGAATTCCTGCCTGGAATTTAGTTCTGTGAATCTGAAGCTGTGTGAGATGATAGGCAGTGGTGGGGCTGGCGGGACAACCCTTCCCATCCTATCCAGCTCACGTAGTTCTAATTATATATTATATAATTATACACAGGAGATCAGTAGGGCTTTTTAAAGCAAGGTCCCCACGTACAGGTGGTCGAGATCAACCCGGAACTGCTTTAGTCTAATTAATCTGCCCCAAACTGTTAATGTGAAACAAGTCTATGGGGCTTCTTGACTGCCTTTTCTCCCATTTCTGTCTGGGCAGTGTCTTTCCAGGGCTGACACTTACTCTGGCTTTGCTTTTTAGAGGAAAGGAGATCAACCCACAGGACAGCAAAGAAGGAAACACCAGATCACCTACYTGATCCATCAGGTGAGCGTTCTCCCTCCAGCATGGGGACGGTTCCAGATGCAGTTACAGGAGTTGACGCTGACCGTCACGAAGCAGAGCTGGTGGCRCTGCTTGTTCTGTGCTTGGGAACCAGAGGATATCCATATATCCATATCCAGCATATCCAGCGATAATTAGCTCTCAATTAGCTGAGAGGCAACGGGGGCTGCCCAGGATGAGCGTCCTGGGCACCCCCRACCCAAACGATGTCCTTGGCCGTAGGAATCTTACGGCCCTGCTCAGGGATAGAGTCGCTGGTTGTGCTCTGCTTTACTTGTCTGGCTTAMTTTGGTTACAAAACCCTGCGTGCCGTGTCAAGCTCTGTACCGTCGGTGTGTGGTTTAGCAAGCAGCCCCTGCGACCGTCCCCCAAAAGAAGCTGCGTTGCAGTGTGAATGAAACGCCGTGCATCTTGAGGCCTCCATCGAGATAATTGCACTGCTATAACGGGGCCCCTTGCTGAAGTGAAATTCCTGAAGTAATTCCTGTCAGCGGGGGCAGAGGGTAAAATATTCCTAAGTCGCTGGGCAGCGGTTCTGACTTGAATCCTCTCCCTTCCTGCAGGCGAAGGAGAGAGAGCTGGAACTGAAAAACACGTGGTCGGAAAACAAGCTCAGCCGCCGCCAGACTCAAGCCAAATACGGATTTTAACACCTCTCCCCCACCTTTTGGCCGCTGGCCCAGGTGACCTGGGGTGTGAGGCTTCTCCTGGGCTTCGGGAGGTCAAGGAGGCCCCCGTGTAGAGGCTCTGGGGCTGAGAGGATCCTGCACCCCCTGGCCTGCCGCGAGAAGGGTTTCGTGCAAGCAAGTTTTGGAAACTACCTGTAATTCCCTGCTCCCCTTCCTGACCCCCGCCAACAATAATGCAAATGGTTCAAATCAAGCCTGGCTTGAGCAACCTGGGACTGTCGCAAGGCACAGGGCAAGGCTGGAGCTTTTGGCCCACCACAAGGCCTAGATCTGTTTTCTTGCAGGGATCCTGCCTCCTCATTCCTGAAATTAGCTGTAGCCGCTGGAATCTTGGGCAGAGTCACCACAAACTTCCCAGTTCCGTTTGCTCCTTTCTTGGCCTCGCTGTGTGTTGAGAGTGTCCTTTTTTTCCGCTGTTTTTTTTTTTTCTAAAAGACAGTTTCAAGAGCAAGCCTGTTTTTTGTCTTTTTTTTTATTGAGACATCCCTACGACTTTAATTGAGTCTGAGTAACCGCAGTGCTCCCCATGACAACTCTTTGCGGGGAGAAGAAGGGAGAAAGTGGCTAATTTGGTGKCTTTGCTGTCAGCTGCGTCGGCCTCTGTTTCAAATCAAGTTTAGGGGAAACTGCTCTTCCATTTGTCTGATTTAGAGCTTGGGATACAAGGAAAACACCCCGGCGTGTGGATGGCGCCACGCGAGGCCCTCTCTGCCAGCACGAGAAGCTGCCGAGAGCCCTTGGATAGATAGGAACGTTCCCTGTATGTATTTTCCTGCTCTTCCCTTCGCCCCAAGGCCTGCAGGGCTGGAATAACCTGGTCTCCAGCCGAGTTGATCCAAGGATTTCCAGGGTCACACGGTGCATTGCGGATGGCAGTGAGTTCAGCGAGCGAAACAGCAGTCTTTCCTGTAACCCAGCCCAGATGAAAGCTGCCTACTGTACATTTTTATATATTTTTTTCATCTCTTGAGCTTGTTTGGATCAATCCCGCTTCCTATAAAGGCTTCACATCTGATTAAGTGTTAACTTTATCCTCCTGTGTGGGAAGAGGAGGCCACATAGGGCCTTAGGTTTGCAACCACCAGGTTTTATTTAAGGTATTGGGCCTGTGTGATGTGGCTGTAAATCATGTGCGAGCTTGTGACCCAGATCCACGTGTCTGTAGCCCAAACTCCGGCCTCGCTTAGTTCATCGTCCCCCAAAATGTGAGATGCTGGAAGGAACAGAGAGCAGGTCTGGTTATTTAACTTACATTCCCAGCACTAAGGGTTATATTTGTTGTAACTGCAGTTAAAACTAATATATTTGTTATTCCTTTTAGGGAAATCCAAAAAAAATCCAAAAATTTGTCTTTTTTTTTTTTTCTGCCATGTTACCTGTTTAAAAAACAAGCTCCTGCTGAATGAAGTCTTTTCTTAGAGTATTTTGAAATTGGATTTCTAGTTTAGCTCCCTGAATGTTTTAGTACTTTGCCGAGCCCATTTGGAGTATTTGAATGACCAGAATAAAGTTACTGTTGAGTAATTTATTCATATCTTCTATGTACAGTGAAATCCTCTGAAAAGAGATTTGATAAAGGAATAAACTTTTAACTGAACCAAAGCTCACCTGCGTTCAGCAGAGCTCCTTCTCTTGGCCCTGGGCTGGAGATGTCCRTGTCGCTGCAAAATGCTGCTCCGAGGGAATGTGCAAGGTTCCAAAAAACCCGTTTTTCCGTGTTATTGCATGGTTTTAACGCCAGAGGGGCCTCGCGAGGACCGGGATAGAGAGCTGTCCCCCTGACGCTCTGCTTTTAGTCGCTTCAGCACAACGCAACACGCGTTCGTGTYGCCCTAAGGGACCCGCGAGCGCCCGAGGAGCCGCTTGGCACCGCGAGCACCTCTCCGTAGGGAAACCCGGCCACATCCTTCGCCGGAGCTCCCTGGGGAAGCGGAGCATCCGCAGGGCCGGTGATCCTGCATTCGCCCTGGCACCCAGGGGGGTCTCTGGGATAAGGGACACGGCGACGGGCCCGTCCCCAACGGGGGGCTGCAGGGACGGGGCTCCTCCCGGCACCCACATCCCCAGGTGCCGTCTGGCCCCCGGGGGTCCCCAGGGCTGGGAGCCCCCCCTTCCCGCCCCACTGCTGGCTCCCCCCTCGCTGGGATGTGGGGGGACAAACGGGTGTCCCCCCCCACCCTCAGTGCCGCCTCTGGTGCCCGCCCGCGAGAGGGCAGAGCCACCCCGGCCTCCTCCTCCTCTTCCTCCCTGCCGGCTGCCCCAGCGGGGACAGGGCGTCACAGGGGGCTCCTTGCCGGGTCCCCCTGCCCATCCCGGGATGCCCTTGGGGGGGATCCAGGTGCCCTGCTCCCCTCTGCACATCCCGAGGGTCCCGGGGGGGGCGGAATTTGCCCCCCAACCAGCACAGGACAGGCCTGGGGACATCGCCCCCCGCTCCGTCCCCTTCCCAACAAGGGAACGGGAGGCACGGGAGGAGGCCGGGCACCCCGATGCCGCTCTGCTCCTCTCTATTTCCCAAACACGCAGCCGGCGGCCCCGGCCCGGCCCCGCGCAGTTGTCAGGCTAAATATTTGGTGTGCGGCAGCCGCAAACAAGCGCGGGGGCCGCCGGGCCCGCGCGGCCGCCCAGGGAGTGCCGGGGGGGCCGGGCCCAGGTGTCCGGGCGCCGCCGCGGAGCCTCCGCGCCGAGGCCCAAAGGCGGCCATGGCCTCGCGCCTGCGCCTCGCGCTCGCCCTGCTCCTCCTGGGCGCCGCGCCGCTCGTCCGGGCTCCGGCCGCGTCGGAGGGTGAGTGCGGGCGCGGGCGGCATGCGGAGCCTCCCTCGGAGGCTCCCCGGCCTCCGTTTCCCCCGTTGTTCCCGGGAACGGAGCGGCTCCTCCTGGGAAGGAGCCGGCTTCGGCTCCCACGCTTCTTGGAAATGCCGCGTCCCGCGAGGCCACCGCCGCTCCGTGATGGGAAGTGGCGGGGGACGAGAGGGGGGCATCGATCGCGCCCGGTCGCGGGGACATGGGGTGGAAAAACGGAGCTTGGAGAGGGCGGAAAATCCCTCGAGAGGATGAGGATGAGGATGAGGACGAGGAGGGGGTGGCACGGGGAAATCTCTGCCCCGACTCGGTTGCGCTGTGGCAGGCGGCTCTGGCAGCGCAGGGACCCCGTCCCCTCCGCGCCCCCCTGCGCCTCAGTGTCCCCTTCCCGTCCCCAGGGCAGCGGGAAGGGCGGGGGGTGCTGCCGGGGCCGTGTCCCAGCCAAGCGGCTGCGCCTGGAGCGCCCAGAGCGCCCGGAGGGTGCCAAGGCCCCCCCATCCAGGGGCAGGACAGACCCCCTCGCTCCTCCCGCTTGGCCCACACGGCAGAGGCTTTGGCCAAGGTCCCCACGGGGGACACAACGGTGGCCACCCCAGGGCTCCCCGTGGCCACAGCTGCTCCCCGGGGCGCATGGAGAGGGTCCCCACGGGGGACACAACGGTGGCCACCCCAGGGCTCCCCGTGGCCACAGCTGCTCCCCGGGGCGCATGGAGAGGGTCCCCGCGTCCCCGTGGAGGCCGTTGCCGCTGTCCCCTTTGGCGGCCCTGTCCCTGGGCGGTGTTTACAGTAAATCCCTCGCGGGAACCGGCACCTTCTCCCCGCAATGAGTCGGCGTCAGGTTGCAGGCGCTGGCGCGCGGCGGCTGCAGCTGCAGCTCGTGCCGGAGCCGCCGCGGCCGCCAACGGGAGCCTCCCGGACCTGGACCCGGCTCCGGGCGCCGGGGAGGTCCCGGTCGAGCGGCGGTGCCGGCCTGCACGGCTGCAAACAGGGAGAGCCCTYGGGGTGCCCCGGGTGCGGGGTGCCGGGTGCAGGATGCCGAGCATGAGAGGATGAGTGTGGGATGCGGGCATAGGAAGCTGAGCGCAGGATGCTGAGTATGGGATGATGAGTGCGGGATGCYGGGCACAGGATGCCAGGTGTGGGATGCCGCGATGCCAGGATGCCAAACACACCCGCAGCTCCGGCGGCCGGGGCCCCTCAGCRCCGCGGCTCCCCGGCAGAGCCGCCYGCGTTGCCCCCGGTTGCTCCAAGCGATTTCAGGGCCGTTGGACAGCGGGACGATCCCCCCGCCCGCCCTGGGGTCTGCGTGGCCGCGATGGGGGGTCCCCTGGGGCGGCAATTCCTGCTGCCCACGTTGGCCCTCTGCCCCCCGCAGTGTGTGGCAGCATGGACATCCGCAACGACGTCTCCCAGCTCCAGAAGCTGGAGAACTGCTCCATCATCGAGGGCAACCTGCAGATCCTGCTCATGTTCACCACGGGCGCCGAGGACTTTCGGGGGCTCAGCTTCCCGCGCCTGCTCATGATCACCGAGTACCTGCTGCTCTTCCGCGTCTACGGCCTCGAGAGCCTCCGCGACCTCTTCCCCAACCTCTCGGTCATCCGCGGCACCAGCCTCTTCTTCAGCTACGCCCTGGTCATCTTCGAGATGCCGCACCTGCGGGACATCGGGCTGCACAGCCTGACGCATGTGCTGCGCGGCTCGGTGCGCGTCGAGCGCAACCAGGAGCTCTGCCACATCTCCACCATCGACTGGGCGCTGCTGCTGCCCGACGCCGTGGACCAGGGCTACATCGTGGGCAACAAGCCGCCCGAGGAGTGCGCCGACGTCTGCCCGGGCATCCTCGACGTGGAGAAGCCCTGCGCGCAGACCAGCGTCAACGGCGAGCTCGGGTATCGCTGCTGGACCTCCAGCTACTGCCAGAAAGGTGGGTGGGAGCCGGCGGGAAGGTGGGAATGAGCCGGGAGCCGGCGGGGAGGCAGCGGGACGCGGGTGCCCTGCTAGCAGCGGTAATCGGATCCCTGCTGTATCCTTGGCCGGGGGAGCGGCCGGCCCGGAGCGGCCCTGTTTTCCTGGCGGCGAGGTAAATACGGGTCCCTCCCGGGCTCGTTTGCTGTAAACAGCAGCTCTGGTAATGACATATATACTGTAAACAGAGATGTCTATCAGGGCTGCGAGCTGGGCCGCTGCCCCGCGCCCGCTGCGCCGCGCKGCSGCCGCCGCTCCGCTGGGCTCGGCAGGGAAGGGGCTCGGCCGCCCTCGCCCTCCTGCCCGGGCAGCTCTCTGTCCATCCTCCCGTTCGTGCCACCTGGGCACCCATCCACCCGGCTGTCCCCCTCTCCATCCACCTACCCGGCTGGCTCTTCTGCTCTCTGTTCATCTACCTGTTCATCCACCTGCTCCTCCACCCACCTATCCTTCCATTCACCCACACAACCATGTGCCCATCCACGCATCCACCCACTCA